TATTTTTGGTTGAGTAACATAAATTTTATAACACTTTATTGTTTGCTGTCATATATGTATATCTCTTCGCATACATACACTTATACAGGCATTTTATTTACATTAAATGTGTATTATAAATTTGTATAATAATGTAAATATGTATATTTTACATAATATGCATTTATATAAGAGGTTGTAAATCAACATTCTATATAAATTTAATATTAATTTAAAATTTAATACATTTTAAAATAAAATTATTATAGTAATTTTTGTCCATAAATTTAATTTTAAATGATTATAAATGATAGCTGAAAGGATCCAAATAATAAATAATATCCTAAATTTTAAATTACATATAAATATGTTGATGAACCATGCGCATATTATATATGTCCATACATATACATAAACTGTGCATATTATTTACGCGTGTTGGCATTTTATAATACTAATTGAGACTAAATTGATTAAAAAAAAATTTTATATATGGTTAAATTGAATTTTTGTTGAATTTTTAATAAATTTACGCAAAATATTATTATTTATTTAATTTGAATAAATTTTTTATTTATAATTTTCATTTTAAATATATTTATAAAAAAATTAAATTACAATATAAAATAATTATTATAAGAATTAATGAAAATTTTATAAATATTTGCAAATTTTAATACTTCTATAAAATCCAATACAAAAACAAAAAGTATTTTGAAATTAAAATAGATTTTCTACATGCTTTGAATTCAATGCCACACCACGTCAATTAAATATAGTGATATTAAAATTTTAACTAGGAGCATTGGTATTTTGAATTTTTATACATTTCGAAAATGCACAAACTACATCGAAAACTACCACTCACTTTTTTATGTAATCCAAAATTTAATCAGTAATTTAATAGAGTGCCTATTTGAAATGAAACTATACATTTGTCTTTTATAGTTTTTGGCTTTTTTTATATTATGATAATGAAATCAATTTTTATTTGTTATGTTATATTTATTTTTTTTTTAATTCAGAAGATTTAGGTTGCTAATTAAGATTATTAATTGCAATGAAATTTTATTTAGACGTGTCTACTGCCATTTAACATAACACTATACTACAATTTTTTACCTATACTCCGATTTATTAACGCCATAATGTTCTTTGTTATTGTGAAAATAAAAAATAATAACGCCGACAATAAAAAATGCTTTCCTCTACGTGTATCAATCAATTCCATATTCTGTTGAAATTTTGCTCTCTTGTTTCAAATTCTGTTATGCATATTTTAATTAAAATTTTAATTTTATCCCAATTAAAAATTTTGAATGAATAATAAAATTAATTTGAAAATAAAAAATGACTACTACATTTTTATTTTCAATTTAGCCCACATCATCAACATAAAATCGCGGGAAGATCGTGGGGTATTTTATGAATTGCTTTTTTTTAAAAAACAAAATTAGATTATTTTAAATGAAATTATGGTATCCTTCTTCTATACTTAAACTACCAATCAACTTCATTGTTTAAAATAGCTAAAATTAATAATGTTATAAATCTATTTAGACTTATAATTATACCAGAAAAATTTGAGTTTCTCAAAATCCTTAAAATACTTTGAATAATAATATTGAAAAACAGGATTTCATGTAGGTTGTGAATTTCCATAAACGTAGTTCTACAATTTAATAACAGTGACCATACATATACATTCATATATGATTAAGAAAATTTCAAAATATTTATAATTTATAATATAATTACTCTACAGATTGCATAAAATAAATTTTCAACATCATTGTTTGTTATAAAATAAAAGGGAAATTAAAACAAAAAAAATTATAAAACAAAATGGAATAATGACAAGAGATTTCATGATGAATGAAATTTAAAATATATTCAATTTAATTATTTTGCATTTGCTATTATAAACAATTTGCAAATTGATATAATATATAAGCATATAGTATAGATATATATATGTATATAAAATAAATATTTTATATTTCCGTACCAAAAACGGAAATGAGAGAAATCGTTTATAGGCAAAGCTTAGTTTAACATACGTATATATACTTGTATCTTATGTTATACTATGAGTTTTGAAAATTTATTAACAACTATAGAATTGGTAAAGTCAGCTTGATTGACTCTGTGGCATCTATTTGTATTTTTGATTTTATGAGTTGCTTGAGAATTTTTACTTGAATTAGTTTAAACTTGACAGGTTTAAGATTTTTAGAAACATAATTAAATTATTAAAATTATATGGTAGCTAAAGAAGAAATCAAATAATTTCAATTAAATTGTTAGAGAATGTTGACTACTTACTATTACTAATGTATAAAAAACATACTTATTCATTTCATTAAGCCCGCCGTCCATGCGTGTTTTAACAAATTTAAACTTTATATACATATTGATATTTACGTAAAGAAAACTTTTACCTACCTTGTCTCTTTGAAAGTTAGGCCCTGTAAGTAATCGAAACCATCATTCAATATTATTTTTCTTTTACCAGCTAAGCTGTGGAAATCTAAAAATTTAATTTTAAAAATTAATTAATGATTTATTTTATGCGAAATAAAATTCTTCCACTTCCCTCTTTTCCACATAACTTTTTTCAAAAATATTTTGCCACTAAAAGAATTTATTTTTTATTATCTACTTATAATTAGACGTCCAACTTGATCTTTAATTTAAAGTTTTAATTTTTATTCTTATCCCAAAAATTGTCACCAATTATTGACAATGAAAATTAAAACTATGTATTCTTTTTTTAAGTAATTTCACTTATTTTTAAGTAATTTCAAGGAAAGCTACTGCTTTACAAACCATTAGTTTGATTTAAATTTATTGCATATATTTTTAATAGAAAATGTTTCTTTGAATTTTTACAAAAATTTGTAAAATATTTCAATACGAGTATTATGTCAGTTCTAATACTACAAATACCATGGCACAATTTATTAACAAAAAAAAAACTAATTCAACAATAATAAAAATTTTTGAATTCATATTATGTACAGTCTATTATGTACATGAATTTACATACATACATATATATATATATATATATGCCATATTATTGCGAATGATAAAATTCTATGACTGTAAGTAATTTTAAATATTCTAATATACACAAATGCAGATATCATACTGTGTACAGACCGCTCAAATTTTTGGATACCATTAGAACTTAATCATTTAAATAATCCCATTTTACTGAATTAAGTTGTTTTTGTTTTTGGAGTAACAGTATCCTTTTAATACAGTATTGTGTTTATCAATATAATAATTATAACATATGTAAATATATATATACATATATCTACTTACATATATGGAATTACATTCATTGATATACTATAATACATGTGCATAGAATTTATACATGTATAATGTATCCATATACGCATAGGATATAATTTATTTTTTAAAAAAATAGAATTTTATCTGTTTTCTAACGAGTATTCAAAATCTGATTAAAGTCTATTCGATTACGAGTCAATTGTTTTTCCTGAAAAAAAAAATTTAAAAAGTCCTTTTTATGTTTCGGTTATTTTCCACAATAAAAAAAATTAAAAATGAAATTTCTTGTTTAGGATTTTTTTTTCTTTGTTTTTGTCAAGAAATAATGTAAAATTTTATTTATTACAGATTTCCTTTTTCCATTAAATGGTTAAATTGTAATTTTAGGAAAAAAATATCCAAATACCCATTCTCATCAATTCTGAAAGGATATTAAAAATTTCGGATTTCAGTTTTATTCAGAAGATTATAGCAAATTTTTGAATTTTATATAAGTACCAATGTATAATTTGTAATTTGTTAAAAGGAATTGAATATACGGTCAATGACATTGGGCTCACAGTAGCTATAAAAATGATTATTCTCATATATTAATTCATAAATTAATTATAGAAAATTTCAAAGAACCAGTATTTTAAAAAATGGTAAAAGAGAAATAAATTAACAATGGGGAAAAAGAAGCAGAATATTTAGGATATTCTCCAGTATACTTGCAATTAATCATATTAAAATTTCATAAAATGAAATTGAAGATCCTATTCATATTATAAAATGGTTTCATGTTATCCGTATCCGTATAATATGTTATTGAAAATCTTTTGATTTTTGTGAATCCAATTGTTGAATAAATAAAAAATTAAGCAAAATAAGAGAAAATAAAAATGAGTAGGAGGAGTAAGTCAGTTTTTCTTCATTACAGATTTAGACTAAAAATTGTAAAAGCAATTTGTTAAAAAAATCAAAAACTTGTTTACTTAATTAGAGTAGGTACACAAGTTGTAATGGAATTTCTTTGATTTAACCTTTTTAAGCCTATGGGGATTGATGAGGTGTCTCAAAAGATTTGAACTGTTCTAAGATATTTTCAGTAGACGACTTTTTAATGGACTTTTTAGTTATAATTGCTTTCATATCTGTATGTATAATATGAATATTACATGTATCTAAGAAATAATAAGATTTTGGAATGGATTCGTTTACGCTCAGATAGATAAATAGGTAAATCAAATAGACTAAATTTTCTAATTTTTATGTGAGCACATCTTGAGATATTTTGTTCTTAAAATAACGCACTATTGAAAAATTCAAATATTATTTTAAAGTCGACGCAAAATGGTTCACAAATATTTCTATTTCTTTATTTATTAAGCTTTTGATAAGAACTCGATGTTATTTCAAAATTGGAATTTATTAATTGTACAGTGAAATAACTTTATTAGGCTAATTTTGAATATGAAAATTATTAAAAATATTCGAGTAAGAGCATTCGAAAATCAAAACAAAAATATAATTGAATTTATTTCGATTCGACAGATAAGAGGTAATAAAAGGTGCAAATAGAAACCATTTTGTTTGTTTTATCTTTTAATTTCTTGATTGCATAACACTTTACGGACAACTATTAATATCATTGCCACATATTAATTAAAATTTTATTTTGATAAGTTGGAACAGAATAATTTTACTAAAACAAAATTTTCTATTTTTTCTTACAGATTATCCTAGAGTTGAAGTAGGACCAGCGAACCCACTACGTGTTGAACGTGAACGTACAGCCAAATTGGAATGTAATGTTGACTCTAAGCCAAAAGTTTCGAACGTACGTTGGACGCGTGAAGGTACCGACGGTCGCACAGATGGTCGTTATATCGGTTCGCAATTTATTCACTCTATACAACGGGTTTCAGAACAAGATGCAGGAAAATATAAATGTACCGCAGATAATGGATTGGGACGTACGGGTGAACAGGAAATATTTTTGGATGTATTATATGCACCAAGTGTTGTTATTGAGTCTAAAACACGGGAAGCTGAAGAAGGCGCGCCTGTTAGCATACGTTGTAATGTAACATCAAATCCAAAACCTGTTACTATTGAATGGTTGAAAGAAGGTAGTCCAGATTTTCGCTATAATGGTGAAGTATTAAATTTGGGTAGCGTAAGAGCAGAAAACGCTGGTAATTATGTATGTAGGGCTGTTAATATTATGGAACCATTTGATGGGAAACGTGTTGAACGTGTTGGTAATTCAACTGTTGCCCTATTAATAAGACACCGACCCGGCCAATCATTTATTACACCAAATAAACCAATAGTTCATGTTGGAAATGGTGTGACATTAACATGTTCTGCAAATCCTCCTGGTTGGCCTGTACCACAATATCGTTGGTTTAGAGACTTAGACGGAGAATTTACAGGATCGAATTCAAAAATATTAGCGCAAGGTTCACAATATATCATACCAAGAGCTCATTTAGGTAGCGAAGGAAAGTATCATTGTCATGCAGTAAATGAATTAGGAATTGGAGAAATGGCAACAATTATTTTAGAAGTCCACCAGCCACCACAATTTTTAGCTAAATTACAGCAGCATATGACAAGAAGAACGGGTGATACAGATTATGCCGTTACGTGCAGTGCAAAAGCAAAACCTAAGCCAAGTGTAAGATGGCTTAAAGATGGGAGTGAAATTTTGCCAGAATTAAATCTTTATGAAGTTAAAACAAATCCAATTCAGGGTTCAAACGGTATGGTTACAGTACAAAGTATGTTAAAATTTCATGGTAAAGCCAGACCCAATAACAACCAGTTGATACCTGGTGATCGTGGAATGTACACTTGTCTTTACGAAAATGAAGTAAGTCAAGCCAATTCAACAATGCATTTAAGAATTGAACATGAACCAATCGTTTTAAATCAGTACAATAAAGTTGCAACTGATATAAGAGAAACAGCTGAGGTAATCTGTAGAGTTCAGGCATATCCAAAACCTGAATTCCAATGGTTATATGGTAATAACCCATCACCATTATCAATGTCGTCAGATGGTCATTATGAAATACATACAAGTTCAGATAACAATGATATTTACACATCCGTCCTTAGAATAAATCAATTGGTTCATAATGATTATGGTGACTATACGTGTCGTGCTACAAATTCACAAGACGCTGTGAGAACTGTCATACGTCTTCAACAAAAAGGTAAACCAGAAAAACCAACAAATGTTCAAGCAAAAGAAATTGGACCAAATTTTGTTACATTAGTATGGGATTCTGGCTTTGATGGCGGTCTAAGCAATACAATGAAGTTTTTTGTTGCATATCGTCGAGTTTCAACTCCACAAAAAGAACAAATGATATCTGATTGTGCAACATTAGCTACAAGTAACACAGATTGGATGGAATACGATTGTCAACGTGAAAGTCCTTGTAAAATTCAACCATTAGATCAACATCAAAGTTATGCTTTTAAAGTAAAAGCACGTAACGCTAAAGGTGAATCGGAATTTTCGCATGAAGTTTTAACAACAACAAAAGTTAGTAAAATTCCACCGCCATTGCATGTCACATTCGATCCAAATTCAAGAACATTAGGTATAAATGTTGGAGCAACATGTTTAGCATTAATTGCTGTAGTTGAAACCTTAATTAATCGTGATACACCATCAGCAGCATGGGAAATTGTTGATACAGTACAATTACAAGTTTCTGGTAATGGACCAACATTTAAGGAAACAGTTATACATCATTTAGCGATTCCACGTCGTTCTGGTAATGCCAGATCTTTAGGTAGCTTAGTATTAGAAGATGATGTACCAATGGCATTGGAAGATGATATGGGACCAACAGTTCGTGTTAAATTATGCCTAAAATCAAATAACGAGCATTGCGGTGATTATGCAGAAGCTGAGAGTAAGTTGTATTGTAAATATGTACGTAGAACAAGTAGAAATATGTTTGTGCGTGTATATTTTTTTAAATCGAACTTCTTATCATTCTGTACTTCAACTTTGATTTATATTGCGAAGTTTTGAAATTAATAAAATAAAAGACTTACATAAGTTCAAACCTATGTATTTCTTCAATCATACAATAAACAAACACACATATCTCAGATCTACATCAACAAACATTATCTATTTACAAAATTGAATGAAAAAGAAAAATTATTTATTTATTCTCAATTTCTTTTCTTATTTTTTTTTCTCCATTTCTTGTAGTTGGATCATCTTATATAGCTGAAGCATCAGCATTACCAATACCAACATTAATAGCAATTATTGTTTCCTGTATAGTATTTGCCCTATTTGTTGGACTATTACTAATGTTCTGCCGTTGTAAGCGTAATCAATCAAAGAAAAGTGCTGCTGCAAAAGATTACGAAATGGATTCAGTTAGACCATCAATTGTTGCCCAACAAAATCAAGCACCACCACCATACTATCCAGCTAGTGGTTTAGATAATAAAGCACTTGAACATTCAATGGATTTAGCACTCAGTATGGAAGATCAAAAGACTGCTGTCTATGCATCGCAGAATGGTTTTAGTTATCATCCAAATACTGGAATTCAAGTGCCTCAGCATACAATACCAGGAAATGAATGTAAGTTTTTTTTTTTCATTTTCAGTTTCCTCATCCTATAAATCTTTTTCTTTTCTTGTTTTTTTTATTTTTGTTTTATATTACTCTCCATTTATTTCATTCCATCTTTTTTATATATTTTTCTTTTTCTATTTATATTCCTTTTGTTGTTATCCTTATTATTGTATTCGAATTGAATGTTTCTCTAATTTTTTGTATTCTACATTCTTTTTATATAATAACAAGTACTTATGTATGTATGTACAATGCAGATTGCTATTTTATTAATTGTTCTTGTAATAAATATAAATATGTATTATGTACATAACTATGTATGTACGTGTGTATTTTTGCATATATAGCCTGTAATTTTGGCCACTGTATTGAGAGAAATGAACTGAAAATAAAAGGATCGTTACGTTTTTAGTAAAAAAAATTTTTTTGTTGAATATTTCCATCACTAAAAAATGGCGACACCAATAATAAACGAACTGACTGTGCAATACTTTTTCAACAAAAAGTTTGTTTTCTTCTAACTACACAACAATCAAAATAAATATACATGTATACTCGTATAACGGCAATATGTATTTGTTAGGTTTTTTTTATTTTAAACAAGATACTCATAGAAATCAAATATCCTTTAGTGAGTACATGTATCTCTATTCTTAATGGAAAACTGATATTTTAATCAACATTTTTACTATGTATGTAATACAAAAAAAGAGAAAACAAAATGCATGAACCATAACGTCCTTTTATCAGGATCAAGCAATTTTACAAAAAAATAAATTTTTGATAAAGTCGCCGTAAAATTGGTTTTTTCGAGATACTTTTTTAAGATCTCTTAGTTATATTGATAAATCTTTTAAGAAATCGAACTTTTAACAATATAAATTCTTCAAAGGAAAATTATTTTAAATAAAATGAAAAATTTGTAAGTCGACTTGTCCAAGAATTTTGCATATGACTTCTTTTTTATGTCGCTTTTAAGTTTTCGGTGGAAATAATATTCTAAAATTAAATTACGGCAAAAATTTTTCAATTTTATTAAACAAATGTAGAGAAACTTTATTGCAGACGATGCAATTTTCACTTTGGCAACCTACTTGTTCCATCTGTAGTGCAATTAGTGCTCATTTTAAAACAAAAAAATGCAAAATACAATCTCCTGTTTAAAAACAATCAAATAAAATTTGATATTCGTTCTATGAGAAATTTTGAAATTGAAATTTTTAAAAGAGTTCTACTGTTTCAAACGAATGTGTGGGTACACTTTTTAAATAATAGTTTTTAAAATAAATTAAGGACATTCTGTTGTGATCTGTTGGGAGAATTTGTAAATCAAATGATTGTATTTTTTTTTTTGCATTTTTTTTATCAATTTATTAGTTTTATTTAAAGATTATTATGAAACAATTTTTTTTTCCGTTCGTCACTAACCACGAGAAGATGAATTAAAATTCCGAAAGAATTTCATTGAAAATAATTTTAAACAAAATTACTATATAGAGAATATAGAGAAATGAAAAAAAAATTCAATTAATTGGAATCGTCATAAAAAAGAAAACAAATTTTTAATTTACAACTTCAAAATTTTTTTTTATTATCCGTATAAAAATGAAACGTGATTTTGTTAAATATATTTTTTTTTTACATTTTTCTACTTGTATATGCCCACGTTCGATTCATACAATCGAATTTCCATCCAGGACAATTATTATTTTCAAACAAACACAAAAAAAGTAAAACAAATTTGTAATCGAAGAAAAACTCAGGATTTCATTATTTTCCAATTGGTAGCTTGAATATTTTTAAAAGCAGTTTAAAATCAGAAATATTAATTTAAAAATCTTATTGCTAGAGTTTTTTTGAAATTTAAACTGAAGAAGTACAAACGTAAATTAAATAATTTTGATATTTATTTTTTTTAACAATTAAAATATTTAAACAAAAGTATTGATTTCTAGCAAAAACAGCTATTTTAAACTTTTTTAGTAACCAAGAAGGAAATCTTTGTTACTTTATAAAAACTACGATACTTAATTCTTTAAGTTTTTCAAACTAAACAATTTAATTGAATTCCGAAAATATTGAAATTTCTGTTTGGCAAGAATAGATTCTTAAGCCGACTAAAATGCAAAACATATGAAGGTGTATTAAAATTCTTTTCGCCTTAACTATAGCTCTTTTGTCGAAAATTAGATACAAAAGACTGTTAAAATGATTGATTTTAGGAAGAATATTTTTTTCACACTGTCTCACAATTTTATTTAAGTATATCTTGACTATATACTTTGATAAAATTAAAAATAAAACTTTGAAGTCTTACTTTAAAAAACTTCAGTAAAAATTTTAAACATTCTTGTATTTTGAACCGCCATACATCGTATTACATTGGGCTTTAAATTTTCAATATCAGTTAACGTTACAAGTCTTTATTTTTGAACGTTTTTCCTCCATGGCTTTAAAATTACATATAATTATCTTGTATGTAACAAGTAGACAAATTTATATCAAATCATTAAAATAATTTCCTTAAATGTTTCCTTTTTAGCTAATTTTTTTTTTCGTACAAAATTTATTTACAATTAAATATCATTTACAATTTCAATCTATTGCCATGCCATGTATACTTTACCAGTTTTACCTTTCTTGCAAAATAATTTGTTCTCAAATTGGTGTAAAATTACCCTTATTTTCTAGAAGCAATTATTATTTTTTTTTTGCCATCATGTGAAGAAAATTAAACCAAATATCCATAAAAATACGTACATTTGTATGTTTATGTTTCTATCTATTGTATTCTTCTTCCTTTTGTCAGGCAATTCTAGGAAATTTCAAAGTATTCATTTCTCCTTTGTATTTGCGTACGTATGTCGTATGCAATAGACATGAGTGTAAAATATTAAAGCAATTAAATTTCAATTTGTATTCAAGATAACATTCTTCTACACATTATTTTATACTTTCTCGTTTGTTTATTGCATATGTGTATGTTGCGTATAAAAGTAACATTAAAATAAAGTATAACAATCAATAAAATTAATTGACTTTATTTCATTTTTTAAACGGCTAAAATTTCCGATAGATTCATGAAGCCACCTAGCATGTTTCCGTGTCATATTTTTCTTGTTAATGTACCACCATCGTTTTTCTTTCCTTTTTTCTTTCTTTTTTATAAAAATTTAAAATTTTTACTTTAAAAATGAATAACAAAATCCCTTTTTTTCTATTTTTTTTTTCAATTTTCTCACTTACTATGTAAGACGGCATTCTTAGGATGCTATACGAGAGACATATACGAGAAAAAAAATATTTTTTTTTCTTCATTTACTTTTATAACATTTTCTACTCACAATTCCATGTTATCCTTTTTTTCTCAAAATGCGTATGTATGTATACCGTTTTAATAATATAATATGTAAGTATGTTTGTGTATATTACAAATTTCTCTGAATTTTATTTGAATTTCTCACGTACATTATTTTATTTCATTTTCTTAACAATTCAACATTTAAAATAAATTCCAAATTAAATTCTAACGATTCAATTCAATTGAATTTCCCAATGAAACGGAACATATTGTATAATATTTTCTTTGTTATATAATGTAAGGCTTACTCGTATATCTATAAACATAAATGAATATGATACGAACATACTTACTTGACATTCTATTTTTGATGGAATAATATTGAGAAAAATAAGAGAAAATTTTTGATATCTGGGAAAAAAATGCCAAAATACGAGTAGTAACCATTTTTTGTTAATAAAATCTCTAATGGGTTCTTTCAAATCTTTGTTAAGTCTTTGATTAAATAGTGTAATCTTTGATAACTTTACAAAAAATGTTTCACATTTGAAAAGCAAATTGTAAGTTAAATTTGTAGATTTTAGAAGTCTTTGTTACTCAATTTGTTTAAATATCTTATTTTTTGTCAAAATTTACTTATGAAACCAATAAAGCTTGTTAACAACCTTGTATCAAATGAGAGCTATTTTTCGATATTACGAATACTTCGTTCGAAACCTAATAGTGTTAGCAATTAGGAACAAATTTATATGGTAGTTTAAAATTGCTACAGAATATTTTTCCATGTATGATGTATGTTTATATATAAAATTTAGTTACTTACTTAAACAAAATAGAAAAAAATAAATAATCAGATTTAAAACAATATCAATTGTTTAGTTTTCAATTTCATCCAAGGACTACATCCAAAACCGAATTATTTCTTTTAGAAATTCAATGTTAAATTTAAAAATACAATTTGGTAACACTATTGTTACGTTGTAGCTGAAAGAACTTCAAATTTTTTTCAATATATTACACATTTCTATATTAATAAATATTTAATACACATTTAAAATATTCGATTGACGTTTCCGAGCTCCTTCTTTCTTCTACACATACATGTTCTATGCATATATAATTTCTATGCATATAGAATTTTTTCTTGTTACTGATACATTGTTTTTGATAAATTCATAATGCCATGTATTAAATTGTTATAGAATAATTTAAAAATATTTTACTTTTGTTGTCTTATTAATGATTGCCTAAGAAACTTTAATAAGAATAATGAGGTTCTAGTCGATTTTTTGCTGGTTTTAAAAAGCAAATATCCTCGCAGTAAAAAAGTATAAGTTATATTCAAACTAAAAATAAAAAAGGGATAACCTCCTGAAAAGCTGATGTGGAGTTGAAAAAAATCTCTGGTGATGGAAAGTTGCAATTATATTTAGCTATTGAAAGCAGAAGCTTTCCTCCTCATCCACATAATAAACATTTGAACGCATTGATTTAAAAACAAACATCAAAACTGTGATATTAGCTATTTACACAATTCCGTATGCTATGTAGATCTACAATAAAGCTATCTTATAAAGAGAACGTGCTGAAATTCTCATGTACTCAATGTGTTTTAGTGCATTTTGTTTTTCCAGCAAGCGTTACCAACAATTTGAAATTTGTTTTTTTTGCAAGAATTTAAAATTATTCTTAAAAATCACGTCATATTAGCCTTAAATTCAATTTAACATAAATTATTTATAATTTTTCAACATTGAATTCTATAATGAATTCGTGAATTTAAGAAAATTTTTTAAAAGTTATGTAATAAAAATACAATATTAGTTTGACCTTCATGCTTTCGTACTTATTTTATGTGTACTTGCAATAAATTATTATATGAGACACAAACCATTTTTTCATGTAATATGTGAGAAAAAATCTCGCATGTATTTCAATAGAATAACGGTTGATCCTTGATGAATATTAATATTTGCAAAATTATTTATGGGGAATCAAAAAAATTTTTTGTATTTTCATAAATTATGTAACACACAGTGTATAAATGTCATGGATATATTATGTAGCACTTATTTATTTAATTAAATTTAACTTAAAATCATTAAAAATGAAAAACAAATACTCAATATTTTTTAATTTTCTTTTCCAATACATGTTTTTATTTTAGGGGTTAATATGAGCTACATAGAAAATAGTTATTCAAATTCAAATAATGGTGGTAGCGTTAATTCACAAGATTCATTATGGCAAGTTAAAATGTCAGCAGCAGCTGGTAATCAAACAAATTTGGTGCCATCTCATAATTTTGTTGATAGACAACCATCATATGGTTATGATCCATTAACGCATGGTGGTTATGGTGCTGTTGATGATTATGCACCATATCCACATTTAACAACAACATCAAGTCAACATGGTGATGAATATCATAATATGAGAAATAGTCAAAATCCATCCAGACAAGATTATTGTAGTGATCCATATGCATCAGTACAAAAACCAAAGAAAAGAGTTGATCAACATTTAGGTAAGTGTTTTAATTTTTTTTACTCCATTTCGTATTCCAGTTATGTCTGCAAATTCTAAAGTATTGAAACTTTTACACAAATAATTTGAAATAAAAATTTAATATTTGAATAATCGAGTATTACCGTCCAACTACAGTAAAATGTAGCTGTTTTGATTAGGAAAAGGTCGACATGTTTAAGTTACATCAATCACTAAAAATAGAAATAAATGGCAATTTCGGGAGACTTTTGTGGCATGATAATGAAATATGCGTAAAAAACTGTCGCTTCATATTTTGCTAAAACATTTTGAAAGCAAAAAAAAAAAATAATTTTTGAATACTTTTCAAAAATTTTTACGTTATTCTTTTGGTTTACGAAATTTTAATAATTATAACTAGGAAACCCAAAAGTAAGAAAATTTACAACTAAACCGATTATAAAACAGCGTTCCGATTCCCATTAGACCACTATTTCCATTTTTTTTATCTTTTATTTTAAAAACAAATCCACCCTAATTTATTGTCCATTGTGTTGGAAAAATTTTATTACATAATATTTGTTAATTTCAATTTAAAATTAAAATTAAAATTCATTTTTAGAAAATTCAATATATTCAAAATTATCTACATAACCTAATAAAAATAACGAATCTTTCTCATTTACGTAACGAACAATATCAAAAATCAAAAAACAAAATTAAAGTTTTCAAATATAAATTCTTCACTATTTAACATTTTACATATTAAATAAAGTAAATAGTAAAATTTTCATTGAAATTTTTTCTACATACCCATTTAATTCTCCTATATTTGAACCTATGCATAGAAACATTAAACATTATACATACATCCTACATATGTGCAAATAGTAAATATATGTATATATGAATTCAAAATCATTTCAAAATAAGTGTGTTCCAATGATTTTCTATACGAACATATAGCAAGAAACTATATGCAATACGAGTAGCATTAAAAAATTCTAAAACTATAAAAAAAAAACTTAAAATTTCATAGAATATCTAATGAACTATAAAACCCCTTTAGCGGAAAAAAGGGTTAAATCAAATAAAAAAAAGAAATGTATATAAAAGGAAAAAGGAAATGCTACATAGTAATGAATATTAAAATAAAAAAGAAAGCTCAACTTTAGAAATAAAAAATCAACTTTTGCAAGTTCTATTTAATGTAACAATTTATTTACAGTAAGATCCAGTTAAAAAAAATATTCAGAAGTTTATGAAAACCAAATGCTATCAAATCTATTCTTGCATTGTGAATTTTCCTTTCGATGTATGTTGTGTGTTAAAGCTTTGCATTTTTATGTTTCACAATGAAAATGTGATCCTATTGCAAATAATTTTGACATACATAGTATATTTCGTACCTTGTTGGAGTTTCACTGTACGTGCATACATGCAAATTATAAAGAAAATTATGTAGGGTTTAACTTAAATTCAAAAGACCGTTTAAATATCATAAAAAACAGTTTTGTAAAAAATTTCTTGCATAAATTGAATATATGACAAAATTCACTAACCATGTGATAGAAGATTTCCTGACTGTTTTCTATGCACATTCGTCAACTCACAGACTTTTGATTGATTTAAAAATAAATTCTATTTTTCAAATTACTTTCTTAAAATTAATTTTTCAAATAGAAATACATAGTAAAACTGATCGTTTTAGAAAACATTAAGTTTTAAATTGGAGTATAATTTAGTACTTTGTTTCGTAATTGCTTAAACAATATAGTGAGTAAATGATTCGAAAAAATTTATTTCATCAAGTTTTGTAAAAATTTTAACATTTAAACTTGATTCATGAAAATTTTAAAATGATTTTCATAATTTAACTTTTTGGTCACAGCATCGAAATGAAAACTATCAAAATATAAAATGTAATTGAGATGCAGTTTTGATTTGTCTATGGAAATCAAAAATAGCAGTAAGTAAGCTGTGGTATTATTTCAATCTTAAGCACAATTTCTAATAGAATGTAATTCTTTAAATTAAAGTATTAAGTAAACATCGTTTTCTATTTTCTAAGAATATATAAAATAATATGGCCAAATTTAGAAACAAAAATTTAAAATCAATGAAAAATTTTTGTAGAAATTATTCGAAAAACTTTTCAATCTAATTGTTGACATAAAAGTACTTATAAAATGAATTAAGCAATTGGAGTAAAATATTTTAATTATTTATTAGTAAGAAACCTCTTAATTTTTGCTCTCTTTTAAACTCGTACTCGGCCATTAAAAAAAAGGTGATATTTACGCTTAATTTAAGTGATAATTCCCTTTAATACGTGATTGTAAAGGTGTAATATTGTGTATTTACTCGATATTAAAATTTCGATATGGCCTAAAATTTTTTAATATTCGAAAAATTTATAAAAACTCTTAATCAATAAAATGAGAATCATATTTATACTTTTATGAAAATGCAAGCAAATTAGCAATAATTAGAAATTAGCAATAATCCAGCTAGAATTTGCCAAAAACTTCATCTTTACTCACATTTACCCACAAAACTCCTGTTTTCTAGTGGTAAAAAATACATCTTCTTTCAAGAGCATTCCGTATAATGGAATTTTCTGAAAAAGTTCCATTATAGTTAAGATTATGTTAATTTCGAATCATAATCACTGAATATTCGTAAAGAACGCAAGATAATGAATATGTGAATAATAGTTCAAGTTATATTAATAGAAGCTTTATTGCATTTGGATAGTAATTACACCCGAATCAAAAATTTTAATTATTAATAACTTTGTTTTCGAAAATAAATTTTAATTATTATGAAAATATATAACGTCTACAAAATAATTTGAATTATAAAGGAAAAAGCAACTAAGCAATTAAAAATTATTGAGAAAATTATTATACACAAATACAAATAAACTAGAAAATCTTCATACAAGCAGCATTGAAAATTATTTTCAAGTGTATAGTTAAACTTTTAGTTAACTTTCTAGATATTATATGAAAGGCGAAGATGCTTTGAAAAATTTTAATTAAATAAAAATAATTACCGCAAAACTTCGCGCTATATTCGAATTTAACAAAATAGCTATAAACGCTCATATTATAAATATTATTAATTGCACAATTATTATCCTTGTTGAAGGATAATAATTAAAGAAAATATAAAGTTTAATATATTTCGTACGTACGTTTCGTATATTATGGTTTCATGTGCATGCATTCATATTGAGCATACACAATAAAAGTGCAAAATAGGTCAAAAGTTTTCAATTCATTCCATTCGCGTGGTTTCCACTTTTTAAATGTACACAATTAAACATTAATTTTTCCTCTTCTTTTATTTTAAGCCAGAAGGTTAAATTTTTTGTTTTTTTAACTATTATTGTTGTTAATATACGTATAACCACTATTAACGCTTAACAATCGCGTTACAAAGAAAGAGAGGTATTGTTTTCATATTTATAACTTTACATAATAATTCATTTTGGTAAACAGATACTTATTCTTATTTGAGTAATGAAGCTAAAAATTGATTCATTTTATATACTTGATTAGGTTTTGAGCAACTCAAATTCAATTGAACAAGTACACACCAAGAAATGTGCCGATGCAATAATTATAAACTAAGATTTATTGACATTTTAAACCAAAATACCTATCTTTCATCGGAATTTGGTGACAATTTTATAAGTACTTAATAGCTTCTAAAATATTTTTAAACTCAATTTTGATTTTACTGATGTGCATATTAAAATTTTAGAATATTTTGAATTTTATAATTTCAAATAAAAATCTTTTAACAAAAACTAATCGGGAAAATAACATCATTTCCTGTATTTTAAATTTTTATACATTTTTTGTGCTATGAACTCCGTTACAGTAATCTGTGCATTGAGACAGTGATTGCATTTTAATTTATTGGTGTACGTATGTTAGTGGCTTTTCCTAGAAAATTTAACATTTTGCAGGAACTAAAATTAATATCCTATAATTAAGAGAAATCTTAAGAAAAAATTAGTTATTCTCATATGAGTAGAGAAAAATAAAAAGAGAACATAATTGTTCTTCTTGTAATGAAAAAAAAAAAATAATTCGAACAAAAAAATGGGCTACCAAAGCAATTAAATAAATTAACGTAGAATAACAATAACAATAACATTAAATGAATTACTACATCGTAGGTTGAATTGCTAATGTAAGGTAATTTGTTGGAATATTTTAAACTAAAAAATAATTTTAAATAACTTTTACAAGTCTTAAAGAGTTCTAATCTATTATTGCACAAACGTAATGCAAAAATGTTATAAGAAATTTTTGAAGTTGATTACAAAGTGAATGAACTTGAAAATGAGATGAGAAAATGTGTTTTACTGAAAAGTGTAGAACAATTTAATATTTTAATGAACTTCTATAAAATAGCCACATATGTCTAATACCCTTTTACCAATCATTTATAGATATATACAGATACATTAAAACCAATATAAGTTTTAGGGTAAAGTTTATTCCATTCCAAATATAAGAAATTTGCAATAAACAACACATTCAGAATTTTCCAAGGACCTTCACATAGTGTACTAACTTGAAGAGCTATAAAAGGCGATTATTAATAAACAATATTTTATGCGAAATACAGTTAATACAATAAGATTAACTAATATAAAATAGTTATGCTATGAGACAACTATTATGATTTTTTATGGTTTCATAGCAATATAAATTTGTGAAGAATACTACTCGTATTAATAAAAACAAATTGCTTGTAAAATATTTTTGAAAACATGAGAAAAATTTAACCCTCGTTACAATCTTATCTTATAAAAACCAGTGACTAATGTAAATGTAAACTCTCTCTAAACATTATTTTACGATTTCTTGTAATAGAATATAACTGATTGAGCACTATAACATGTATATATACATATATTATATAAAAAATTAAAAAAAAAAATTATTGTAAAATACATAATCTGTAATTTAATTTTATATTTATGAGTATAAAAGGTAAAAGAGAAAAAAAACTTTAATA